CCGCTTTAAAGAGTTTAGCTTTGACATTATAGAAATCCTAACAACAGTTCCGTCAGTGCACTTGAGTTGCACACTTGAATGTATTATTGATGTGTACGTATGTGTGCCTCTGTGTGAGCTCAAATGTATGCATTTGTGTGCATTTTAATAATGTTTATCTATTCTTTTATAAATCCATCATTAGCTGTTTTTCTTGTGATATACCCCCACCCATTATCTCACCCAGAAATTGAAAACATAAACTGAAGGAATGCTTACAAGCCATGGGACATCAATCAGTCTACAAACAAGTTGGAGGTGTCAGTAGAGTAATGGCTTTTGTTTGAGAAAGAGTCCGTAGCTGGTGCACACAGGGATTTAAAACAATAATCTTTCCGGCATAATGACTAGGTAATATGGATAGTCCATTTATCTTTGATTAGATTTTTCGATGCAGGGATTCATTCCCTTGGCTCCCTGTTTCATTATTCTTTCTAATTACCTGCACCGATTCGCCCATCAAGCATCGGTACACTGGCAAGATGTAATTGCTTCTGCCATAAATCAAGAAACATTTGGGGGTGTCTCGAGAGCTTCTTCTCCATTAAAACAAACACATTGAGAACCCAAGCTTATGTTCATATTGATAAATCCAATCATTCACTTTGACATTTTGATATTTGATGTGCTCAGTATCTCAGTCTTAACGTTTTGGTAGTTCTTACACTGATAATTCCTGTCACTGTTTTGTTTGACAGCATGTGTACAGAAGCAGTGCCTGCCTCTTTCTTTCTCTCATTAACATCAAGATTTATCTTGTCCCCACTTCAGAAAAAGGACTTTGCATTTGTGATTGGGATGCCACTGAGTGATGCATTACGGGTACAGCCAGCCACAGTTGTCTGTCAAGGTCAAGGAGCATATTGTGTCTTAATGAGGCCCCGGCACTGACACACATTCAGCTGCTGGGCCCCAGTGTTGCCTAATCTATGTAGTACAAAACCAAAAAACGTGTAAAAAATTTCCCCACGCTGAACAGCACCTATTCCAGTCCACAGGGTTATTATTCTAATTTTGTTAAGGCATTAGGCAAATCAACAGCTCCCGCAGCAGCACAGTGGGGAGAAGTGGCTGGAGGTGGAATGTGAATGAGCTAAGTTAAGGCAGACAGAACTGGGGCTTAGCTGTTAGCCTAGGGGTTAAAGTGATAATATATGAACTTAGCTCTGGCAGGCGGGCAGACAGCTCCCACATTAGTGACCAATGAGTGTCTTAGAGTGGGTGCTTTATTCTGAAAGCGACACAGCAAGTCTGCGCGTCAGCTGATCGGGGACAAACATGGATTATTTACTCAGCCACATTAGTACGGCTGTTCCTGCTGCATCAGATTTGCCAGTCGCTTGTTTTTCTTTTCACAATGGTCACACTAACCTTGATGTAGTTTATGGTGAATAAGATCGTTTGGGTTTATGCCAAAGCGTTGTGAATATTAGGAATGGAGGAGACAATTTGGTCTCTAAGGAAAAAAACAACCTTGCATACTTTTATGAAAGACCAAAAGACACGCTTTAATAATTTAGCTTTTTAATATTGCATATTTTCATTTATATGCAGTGCTTGGTAATTATCTATTCTAATCGTTACACTGAATACAAACTACTTTACTTTTAAAGAAACCACCATGTCTTTCATTACATTCTGTCAACACACAACAGTACATGTACAATGGCAATTTGTCATGTGGTTAGTTGAAACCTGGATGACAAGTTAAATAAAAACATCACTACCAAAGACAAAAAAGCTGATGAAAAGTGATTTTGATCTCTCACTCTGCTGAAATGCAGTGGTTGTACATGATCTGTTGACTTCTGGCTGTCCTTGCTTAATAGCATCTTGTCTGAACACATTCCCTCTGCCTGGACATGCCGGCCTCTTGTGAACAGTGAAGAGCAGCTTCAGCTGACGAGTCTAGTGTACTAAAATCACTGGAGCGTAGCAAACTAAATGGTCCCCAACAAAGCACTTACTATCTTGGGTTTTACAGTAGTTAATATCCTCTCTGGTGCCAAGACTTCTCTAGGCTCTCACCTACCTGTATTTACAGAATGGTCCGTGTATAGTATATGTTAATTCACTTTTTTAAGCTGCACTATATATACATATCAATATGTTTATTTTAAATAGATCAAATTGCTATATGTAAAATGAAAGGCGTCGCCTAGTAGTGAAGAACCTACAGAGAATTATTAGCTGGCTGTGCAGTTACTCAACTCTAGCCAGATATTTTTCTCAATTTTCAAATTGGAGTTAGACCTACATTTATCAGGTCTCCTGAAACATGACTCCAAATGTACGCTAATGTTACTCCATATCTGCTGACTGTGTAAATAAGCAACCGTTTACTAACAAGTTTGCCACTTTTGGAAATGACAAAAAAAGCTAAAGGGAGAAATAAATCTTTTTCTCTCATTTGGTTTCTCTTCTCTGGTACAACATGAGACATGAAGACATAAAAAGAAGGGGAAACTTTGAACTGCAACCCACATTTGCTTTCCAGCTATAGTGTCTCCTTCTTGTCTTCCGGCATGGGCCCATGTCTTGACCCACACATTGTCCCACATGCTGTACAAGCTAGCAAACATCCACTGTAGGACACGTTCACTGCTAATTTAATTTTGTAGGCTAGATAGCAAGAAAGCTAGTCTAGCACATTGGGCATCTTAAAACCTTAACGGCAAATGTCAAAATGGGTTTGTTTTACATGCTTAATGGTTCCATATTCCAATACTACAAGAAGGTACCTGTACTCTGCTTGTACTGTAAGCTACAGTTTACAGTACAAGTTTGATTAAGTTGTGAGTGTTTTGGATTTATCTCCAAATGCCTTTGTTCCTTCCTTTCAAAGATAAATAAATATTAGTTTTAGTGTTACTTTGACATTATTTAACCACAAAAAAAGAATGGCTTTATTTCATTTGGACTCTCATAATATTATTATGATGAACAAAACTACTTTAAGGGAATTTGATAACATTATCAACACTGATATTTGTGATTGGCATTGGAATTTCTATGGAAGCTCCTAGTTTATGCTTTCTGTGAATACATGGCTATAGATATTTCTGTCTGCCTTGCAGCAGTTCTAGATGCACACAGTGCTATCAAGCCTGTGTCCTCCCACTGAATATGTTTAAGTGGCTTATGTTGAAACACTGAGTAGGATGACTAAGGTGCAGCTGGCAGTGACCCAGGTTAATATGGTTAAAACACTCGAGTGCCAGTGTCTGCAGTCACAGAGGCATGCAGGGTGCTGAATGCAGAAAACAGAACAGAAGTCTTCAGAGAGTCTTATAGAGGAGCGTAGGGGGCAGTGATACTGTAGCTGCTGTATAAGCAGCTGTGCTGAGGCCTGCATGGCGGCTGAGGTGGCTGTAAGAGTGATTTCCCCACAGTCTGCCTGTTTCTGCAGGCCTTGAATTAAATCAGCACCTTTTGTAATGGGACTCACATGCAGCAGGAATCCTAATGAAACAGTGCATACAAAGCCAATCATTTTAAATGTAAATGTCATACAGAGATGAGAAACACAAGAGCTGTAGGCCTGGAGATGAAGTGCATGGGCTACAATCATTAAAACACAAGGGGTTGATGATAGGAAATGCCGTGTACATCCACAACACAGAGAATGATACGATCATTGTGCTGTTTTGTATGATTCAACATAATCCCTGTCTCTCTTACACCCTTAAATGTAGAGACTTTGTGAAAAAACAAAGTTTTAGTGCTCTTCAGCATGTATAGTTTGTGTCTTGATAGATATGATGTTATGCTCTTCCATGAGCACCCTCAACACAACAGTGCACCACTTCTCCTCCAGCTCTGAAACGGATTTCCGAGAGTATTAAAAAGAAAAGCTCTTGAAACTGCTTTCAGTTAACCAGAATCGATTTCATCTTGAAGACGTATCATCGTCATTTCAGGAGGTAAGAGAATGCTTAAAAGATCACGTTTGTACCAGATGTCCTCTGACAAAGAGCTGTGCTGTCTATAAAGGGTTTTACAGTTACAGCCGCTATATCTGATTACAGTGAAGCAGCAAACAAAGTAAGTATAAATCTAAGGTCTTCTGGTCGGTGTGAAGTGGGATCAAAGTGCTTTGGGAAGCCTTGGTCATGGGTTTGCCTAATCAAGTCCACAGTTAGACCGAATCCTTTTACTTGAGCTATCATTCATTTGGAATCTGAGATGAGGGGTTCAATAGCAGGAGGGAGGTTACAGTATTGAATTGAGAGGAGGAAATGATTTGAACTGGCTGGTAACGGATTGAATCACTACTGTAGACTACTGAATGCTGTGGTCCTTACCATGTCCCTTAAGATATTTGTTCTTAACTGTGGGGTTTCTGTGGAGCACTTCACAACAACATAGGCTGCAATGTCAGGTGGATTTTATGTTGATAAAAGTTAAACTTCTGTTTAAAAATGGTCCAAATATAAATTTAAATGAATTTTGTCTCTTTCCCCCAAATTGGTTTGATTAAAAATAGGTTATTTATTCGGTGCAGGACATATTTGTTAGTTCTAGTATGATGGAGTTGAATCTTCCTCCAAGCATGTGATTCATGAAATGATAATTATCATCCTGAAGTTGACCATGCATGTACAGTATGCAGGGGGAGTTTCATAACATGCAAATTAAAACCTATATGCAACATGGATGTGAGGCACTAGAGCTTTAAGCCCCTGACCGCGGCATCAGAAGAGAGATGGACTCTATTAACCATCGCATTACGGATCAAATGGCAAAAAAAAAAATCTGTTAACACATCTTTGCACACGTTTTCACAGTTCACTAACTGATACGGGGAGAAGGCTGCTCTGCCAAGTGGAATTATTTGCTGCTTTCATAGTGGTGCTGTTTATTTTATCCTGCGAGCCCAACACAGCTCCTGAATATTCATGATTGTGCCTCTGAACGTCAGGACGCAGCGGCGGCTTTTTCTCCCTGGCTGAGAGCGGGGAGGCTGGGAGAAGAGACAGCATGCCAGAGTCCGGCTGCGTCTCTCCCACCGCATTTGAGGGCAAATCAGCTCTCAACTCATCTTACTCTGCACCGCACAAGGGAAACAACAATGAACTGACGAAAGACAAACACACAGAGAAAAAGAGAGACAAGGAGGGAGAGAGAGAAAGAGAGAGAGAAACGCCGCCGTGTTTTTGAAGCATGCACATATTTTCTGGACATAAGCTCCTCTGGTTCATATTTGCAGAGCGGGACGGATCGAGTGACCACAACGCTTTTGAAAAAGCAGATGTCACAGCAAAGCAGTGGTAGCAGAAGGACGCTTCGATACAAGCGGTTATTACAGTGCATCTCCTGGAAGATGGACGAGACATATTGGGGCTAAGGAACTGGCGACTTATCACGGTGCAGAGGAGAGATGTTTTGCAACTGCCTCAGGCTGTTCAAGGGGATGAATGCCTTCCCTGGCGTCATTTCTCGCTTGCAATAGGCTATGTAGCTCAAACGACGGCAGAGCGTGTGCAGCTGTACCTCGGCTAGTTGAGTAAAAGCTTCGCTCACCGGCGGAAGCCGAGCACCGTGGCCGCCAGCAACCTTTCCTACCTCCAGTCTCCATGTGACGGATGTGATGCCCCACTAAGAGAAGAAGCGAGCGCAGCCTCCAGAGCTGTCCGCGGTGCTGAACGGATCCGTCAGCTCCCCGGGTCTTCACGAGTTGACCTTCTCTCCCCCTGAGCGGAAAAACCATCCTCCTGCAACGCACATTAAGGTGGCAAAGCAGGCCACCACACATGGACAGCTGCTGGGCTTGACTGAGTCGGCCGGACAATATTCTATTTCATGGCTGTGGCACGCAAAATCAAAACTTTGCTGACCGTCAACATTTTAGTGTTTGTGGGAATTATCCTGTTCTCGGTCTACTGCAGGATCCAGGACCGATCCGAGGAGCTCATCCAGCTAGGGCGTATGTCTGACCAGAGGCTGCGAGCCAGGAATGGCAAAGTTTCCAACTTGGTGGACAGACAGTCTATTCTCCAGAGGCTGGAGAGGCTGGAGGATGTGGTCTACAATCAATTAAACGGTAGGACACGGCTTGATTATTACATGGGCAGGATCTGTGATTTACTGGTTAAGAGGTAATCAATATAATGAGGCAAATAAACACTTTATGTATTGTGGCCATACCTCCAAAAAAACGACAGCCCGTGTGCAATGTAGAGGAGCGTACTTTGTTATCACTCAAAATTGACCAAACTGTCTTCCAAAATCTAAAAGGTATTCAGGCAGCATGATCTGAAGCATGACTCATAGTCTACATATTTCTCAGCATCGTTTCTTTGGTAAAGCGGTGAAAATTCTGCTTTATTTTACACATGGAACTATGTTAAACGTGTTGGTGAGTAAAGCTCTGCTGCCTTTAAAACACTAACCCTTCTTGTTAAGAAGCTAATGAAGCAGGGTGATGTATTACAGTGCAATACTTGGTGTACGTGCTTATACCATTTGAGTTGATAGACTTTACTGGGCTGTTACTTTAACGACCTATCAGGCTGTGACACCCCTCACCCGTAATTGACTTGTTGTAAACTTCACATAAACTTATGCTTTAGGTGTTGATGTCTGCAGATCTGTATAGAATCTCACTTAGAGGAAGTCTGTCTCTCAGCAGCAGCTCATTTCACTGGAGGCACTGCTGGTGAAACATGTCGGATTTAACAAGCTGTCTGACTTTTGAAGGAGAGTCTCATGTAATGGCTCTATAACGGAATGACAGACTTGCATGTATTCACATGGCCATTAGTCTGTGGAGCAGATTTGGTCTTTTTCAGCAGAGCCGCAATCTTTAAAATCTGGTTCTGTGTTACTCACGGTCCTCTGCCTCCAAAGCCACACAATCGCAAAATGTTAAAGATCTGGTACATGGTGCATACAGATAGTTGAAAAGACTTAACTGGATACAGTACATGGAATATTCCAAGTTTATATCCAGTATCTGATTATTATGTATATAGAGACATTAGTTACATCAGGGATAAAACGTAATGAAGCAAACCACTTTTTTTCTACCCTCTACCCCTATTTATTTTACCCCTAACACTTCATACTCCCATGCATTCAATTATATTCATTGAATTAGTGTTTAATATACACTGACCATTATATTAACCAAACAAAATCAGTGGTGAGTCGGTGGGCTTCAGGTGGTTGTTAAATGAATGACAATTAGGGCTGCAACAGAATTAGTTTCTCATTTAACCGATTAATCGTTTTGTCTCCTAAATGTCAAAATTGTGAAAAAGGCCTGTCAGGGTTTCCCAGTGCCCAAGGCCATGTCTCCTAATGTCTTTTTTTTACCGACCAAAACCCAACAAACATTTGTGCGCAAAACCAGCGTCAGATCGTAATGCATCTGCAGGGGGTTGATCAACTTGTTGATCTAAAGCAACTCAGTGATTGCAAAGTTTGCTTAATTTCAGCCTTTTGAAAAATATAATTTAGTCCAAATAAAACTTCTCACCCACAAGCATTTCAGCAAACTCAAAATAAACTCCACACTATTCACGCAACATTTCATCTACAAAAGCTAAAACGTCTTGTTCTCAAGCCAAATAATGAGAAATCAGTATGGTGGAATGTTACTCCTTGGCAAGGTGGTAGCCTACTGATTGATTTCTAATCTATCAGTAAAGTCAGTTTCTATTTACTAGCTTACTGTTCACTCCTGGGGCATTGTGACTTTATCATCAGTATAAATTACAGGCTACTAAAGCTCAGGCTGAAGGGGGCTGTGAGGGATGTGGATTGTGTAGGAGGAGGCAGGTTGTGTTGTTGAATTTCATGCTGGCCACCAGTAGAGGTCACAGATATCTTAATACCCCTTTAACTACAATTCTACACTACAATGCTGAAAGCTCTTAAAACTCCAAATTCAAGAACATACAGAAAAGAAATTGATTGTTGAATTATCTCTATTTCTAACTGATTGTAAGGATCCAGAAAAAATGGTTTGACAGTCCATTTCATTGTTTACTCAATCACATTTTGTTTACTTGTTAAGGATGTTTCACAGGTTTATGGCCACAAAACAGTGCGAATGTGGGCTGTTTCGGCACAATCTTTACTCTTTTGCCCGACCTTCTGCAACTATTTGAGGGTCACTCTGTCACTTTGAGTTATGCTTGGCATCTGGCATCCAGCCAGCAGGCACCGCCTCTCAAAAAGTACAATACATCCTTTCAGTCACTTAGCTTTTTATAGAGACAATGCAACTGAGCCGGTCAGCCCCGTACAGTTTCCCTGCTGTGGGACAGAAACACACTGTGTCTGCAAAATCCTTTAAGGTCTGAAGGACAATGTGTCTCGTCAATTTTGAGTGGGTGGATTTTAAAACATGAATTGCAGAGATTTTTTATTTGGCAAAGAGTAATTGGTAATTGACTTTTCTGAGTGTTGGTTGAATGGCATCCACCTTCTCTAAAGCCAGATATACACAGTCAAAATAACTGCATTTTGTGTCATTTGTTTTATGAACAGTAAGTGAACATCATATCAGCTTCATAAAGTATTCTCAAAACTGACTCCTCTTTCGGCACAGTTGAGTCCAAGTAGCTGGGACACAGTTTGTAGGTCTTTCACAAGTGGAGAGAGTAACAGTCCATTATGGGTTGAAGAGAAGAACGAGCAATGAACTAAGTGCAAAGCTGGCACAGTGGCCTGGCTCCCAGTTAACATAGGAATATAATAAAAAGCGTCTTGAACTTAGGTGTGAGTCTAAAATCCTGAATTCCAAATTGAGCTTCACGTCGCAAATTGCTTAATTCATCAATTCAACAAATTCCAGTTGTGAGCATGAAAAATTCATATTTACAATTCCCAAAACAAGCTCTACAGGCACATGTCTCTTTCTACGCAATTCAAGTGTGAAACAGAAAAAGGAATCAATTGCAGTTACATAATTTTTCTTTGACAGTGGCAATGTGTACCCAGGAGTGCACACAGGCTGGAAACGTTCGCTGGCTGTCACAATCCCTCCATGATTTGTCTTGAGCTCTTTAATGGCATACTTAATCATATCCTCATATCCCAGGTCACTGCCCCTTTTTCTAAATCGTGCACAGACCACAAATTGTATTCTATGACCATTGGGAATAACTATGGCGAGAGGAGAACTCAGTGTGCCAATAACTATTACCATGTCCGGCAGTGATATGAAGTAATTGCCCATTCCCTCTGTTGTTTATTGCCTACCAATGGCATTCCATGGGAGCTGCAGCAAGGTCCAATTAGATTTGAAGGACATAAACAAGTCGCAAAATTCCTCTTTTATGGCCGTCTGATGGATGGTCACCAGACTCCCAACAAGAAAACAACGGTCAAGCTTTATCAGCAGCCCATTTTGCGCAGAAAGGGCAACATGAGGGTTATCAGCCGCACTGCCTCTGCTGTGGATGCCACCGTCTTTGGCTAATCGGATGCGGTGAGTTTAAGCTTGTTCACAAGCTTATGAAGCACTGTTTTGACCTTAAGTACTGCATTAGAACCAGCAAATACCTCCTGACCAGTACTTACCTGCTGAAGCCCTGTGAGTCTGACTAAATTAACACTATGCACAGATAAGATTAGCTGCCATTATTGAGAAAGAGAGAAATGCACAAATTTTAAGTTTAGTTTGACTGAAAAGGTTTTTTAAGGTTAATGTTCATATGAACTTTTTGAACTAAGCTGTTGATGTTCAATTAGTGCAGAGAAAACATGATTAAAGAATTAATTCACAGTTTGCTAAGCCCTGTCCCTCTCCATTAGTGCTGCTACATCTTCCAAGATTTCTATTTATGCCTGACACATAATGCGGTTTACAATAAGTAGAATAGTGACAGATGTATCGCTTGAAATACTTTGTAATTTTTTAAACAATGGGTCCTTGATTTCAGGCAGAGGTAGACAAGAGCAGGCTTCTCATTTCTGGCTGGTAACAACTGTTGATATAGATTTTATCTGCTTAGCTAGCTAGCAAATTGCTCCATGAGTTGGTTAAAAAGGCCGTCTTAGGACTTTTTTAGCCTACTTGGACTTGATCCAAAGCTTGACAGACCTGCTGTGCCTAGGTAAAGGTGCAAAGGTATGAGTGGATAATCGCTGTTGAGGGGAGCAGTTTAGTGAAGGTAAACTAAGATGGAGATGTAAAGAACAAAATAGGCTAGTACAAGAACATCCAATAAATATAAAATAACACCAACTTAATCATTTTCATTCTGATGGTCTTACTATCACATTTAAATTGGAATACACTAACATAAAACTACCTCACTTTATTTTTCATCGCCTCTCTCCTTCTATTCTGTCACTCGAAGCAGAAATGCTCTAAAAATAAGCTTCTTAAAAAACAGATTGCTCTTAGCAAGTGAATGTGCTACTATTCAGTTTACTCCTCTGACCGGCACTGGATGTGTCATTGTTTGAGCTTGGCTGTTGTCCCTCAGCTCATGGTCCTACTGATGCTCGTCATCAGCCATGCATGTCACTCCCGGCCTTCTCCCGGTGCGTAGGTGCTGATTGGGTGGCAGCCTCACAGGCCCAGCTGCAGCACCAGATATGCTTCTTATCTATAATGCTCAATTATGGCAAAGAAACCAACGTTGTTTATATGCTAAGCCTGCTGGGGCAAAGACTTGATGAGAAATGAGAAATGTCACACTCTCTCTCTTCCAAGCTGACACACACTTGATGCTCCGACTGTATCTTAATGATACATATCGCGGTGTGCCTACATATTGTTGTGCAGTGTGTAATGGCGGCGGCTGCAGGGACGCCACATCACAGCACGGTGAAGCCTGACAAAATGAAATATATTCTAATAATGATATGGAGATGAGGCTCTGGTCGACAAAACAGTTTCAGAAACAGATAAGAATCAATTCTGCTCAGCCTTGAGGAATCATGATAATGAATTCAGCGGCTAACCTGACAATCAGCAGTCAGCCACAGACAATAATGGCAATTTCAGATGGAGCGAGCAATCCTCTTATTTATACTGCTGGCCTAGAGTCATGCAGTGATTACATTACTAACATTTAATAATGG